CTGAACTCCACGAAGCCGAAGTACGCGGCAATCTGTGCCCAGCCTGCGACAGGCACCTTGGAGACTGCCGCAAGCCCATTCGGGATGTCGGCGAACTTCAAGCCGGCGGACGGCGACAAGAAGCCAGGCCTCGTACAAACAAATCAACACACATCGCCACAAACTTGTCACGCAGCTCAACTAGCAAGCACCCGCTGTTACGCTCTGAGAGCACGGCAGCTTGCCCGTAATCTCAGGGGTGATATAACCTGCCGCCACGCTCAAAACAAAGGATCACGAGCAGGTGGAACCCAAAACACTGCTGTAACCGTAACCCATTTGTAAGATAATGATGCTGCTGAAGACGAAGACGAGGACGATGATGTTCAGACCATGGTGATGATGTTGAAGCTGATTTTCATGTTGATGTTGGCGATGATGATGATGATGATGGTGATGATGCTAATGACGGTGATGATCATGATGATGTTGATGATGATGAGGAGGACGATGACGAGGATGATAGTGATGATGTTGATGGTGACGGTGATGGTTATGACGATGATGATGATGGTAGTGTGATGGTTATGACGATGATGATGATGGTGATGATGATGGTGGTGGTGATGGTGGTGGTGGTGGTATTGCTGGTGATGGTGGTAGTATTCCTGCGGTGTGCCTTCTTGTGAAGGGCTGTGGCGATGGTTGCTCTGGATGTTGCTGCTGTTGTCCTGGTGTTCGCCGTTGACCGCTCCACGTTGCACACTAACCCGGGTCTATGCTCTCTGCTACCAGGCAGCCCATGGTGGCCATCATGGAGATTCTGCCATGCTTCCTGGGAGTCGCAACTGTCTGTCACCCAGTCTCCAACATCCTATCATAGAAGCCTGCATATTTAGACCAGCGTTTCCGGTTTTTAGCTTCTTCAGAATGAAATATACATATGCTTGGAAAACCGACAGAATAGCATCACTGTGCATATGTACGCCACTACTCGTTCAGATGCCGGAGCGTGGAGGCTAAAGCTCTTGGGCTCTGAGGACACCTTCTCACTCACCAAGCGGTGAACCAGCCGCTGCTACAGGAAGAGCCCTAAAGTATTGGATTTAGGGTTTAGGGTTTATGTGTGTTTCGTGTCACTGCCTGAACAGTCACCGGCTATAGAAGCCGTGCACAGCAAACCCGAAAAAAGAAACGCAAACAATCCTAGGTAAGTAGCCAGACCCCTGCAACCTCCCTGAATTCTTAAACCACGAGTTTAATCTTTGACAATTGTAGTATTATAACTACAAAAAAGGCCACCAAGAAAGTGAATCCCTTGTAGAAGCCTTCTAGAACCCTTATGAAGCAGATGAGTGCAGCCAACGCGGCAACTCGACGGAGCGTCGCCTCTTGAAGGATGACACATCTCCTTGGCTGCAGACGAACGGTTTTCTAGGACTGTTATGAGGATATTATCATAGTGTTGTAAGTTATAATAGATCTAAGATTATTACATGTATGTATGTATGTATGTATGTATGTATGCATGCATGTATGTTGTATGTATGTAGGTATGTATGTATGTATGTATGTATGCATGCATGCATGCATGCATGTGTATGTATATATATATATATACCCCAGAATCTCTCCCAAAAACTTAGCGGCAGCCGTACGGTTGTAAAGTGCATCTTAACAACCCTATAGCATGCTACAGCCACGTTGCAAGTTCCTACTGTTGCAATCGCCCCAAGGCCCTAGGCAGCCCCAAGACAACGGTAAAGGTAACCCCAGAGAAAACGCAGGCAACGGATAAAAGCCCGCTGCAGAACTCAAGGAGCGATGCAACGACACACGAAAATGCGTTCATGGCTCCGTCGGAGGTGAAGCCGACTGGATCCCAGAATCCGACAGGATCCTGCCTCGGAGATACGGATTTGGGGCTTGGGCCTCGGCCTTTGGAGGATTTCTGTGGTTCTTTGGGGTTGCGCGGCTGTGGGCTCCTGGAAGGAAGGAAGTCTCTTGGGCTCACGGACTGGTAGCATCCAAGGCTTCGGGTTTCAATGGGCTCTATTTTTACAGGCCACGTAGGGCTGTGTCGTGCGGTTTGTCGGTACAGACAGTATGCATGCCTATAGCTTGCAGGGGTGAAGTGCAGGCGTTTATGTACTACTGAGGAGACGGAACGATTAGAGCATGGTTGGGAGCAACAGCCGACTATGCTTGACTGGGCCATGTCTACTTACAGTACGATCTATTGACCCTTGACCCGTTGTTGCAGTTGCTGCTTAGACCTGCACCGGTGGCCCTTTCTGAGGAGCCTCGCAAAACACCCCCCCCCCCCTCAAAGTCTGCAACGCTACCCAAAAGTCTACAACCCTATCAAAACTCTGAACCCCCTAAGCTAAACTCTGAAACCACAAATCCTAAACTGCTACATCAAGCTCCGGGTGCCGACGGCTTAACGCACCCAAGATGCACTCCGAGCTCACTCTCGAAGGCTCGCACAGCGACCTGGCAGTTGCCGGTGTCTGTCTGGTGCTTAGTAGGGAATGGGGGAAAGGGTTATAGGGACTAATATACGGGACCTTAAGGGACTATCATAGGGATCCATTCCCCCATTCCCTACTAAGCACCAGACAGGTGTGGGTACAGGGTCAACCCTCGGCACTCTTTGTTGCAGGGTAAAGGAATGAGGGGTTTCAGGCTAAAGGGGTTTAGGGTTTTAGGGCTTAGGCCTTTGAGGGGTGGAGTCCATGGCCTCAGGGCTGTTGAACATTAAGGTTTGGGGATTGTGGACATCGAAGATTGTAGAATCTAAACTTAACCCCGCCTCAGGCCCTCCAGTACCGGACTTAGTCTCTTGCACGGCTAGTTCTTGCCTGTTGCTACAACTTCGAGCGCCAAACCCTGAACCATCGACATGAATCCCACAGTACAAGCTTGCGTGCCTAACTTAGAGCCCTCCGGCGCAGCCCCACACCCTAAACGGCTCCGGTGCTTCATCGTTTGCTGAGCTGTCTGGCCAAAGGAAGGGGCCTTTGAATTCTGACAGACGTATGTACAGCCGAAAAGGTTTCAAGAGAGTTACCTACTCCCTCCTTCCTTAAACCCTCAAGGCTAATTGAGGGGTCTGATGAACCCGTAACAATGCCGTAATACTGCTCCCTCATAGTCCACAATAAGCCCATATAATAACTGATGTCTGAGATAAACCCCCCCTCCAGACCACTGTTGCGGTTACAGCAGCCCTCTACAAAAAACCTTCATATCCTGGTTCAGGGTTGAACTGGACGGCTCACCACGCTGTGGGAGGATCCGCTGTAGGCTACCTCGGCACAACGCCCCGGAACTTTGCGAGCGAGGGCCAACTGTAGGATTTAGGGTTTTGGGGCTTGGGGCCCTGGTCGGGGCTGGAATTGCCTTGAACTCCGACATCTCGAATCATGGCTCCCGACAAAACCCAATACCAACCCTACTACCTCCGGTGTACAGACGGGGTTTCTTCGACACACAACAACATAGAACGCCCTTCCCTGCAGAACCCTGAACCTAAAGGCTCTTACAAACGCTATAAAGATCCTTACGAGAACGACCCCTAAAACCTTATCAACTCTACCCCCCAAATTCCGGGCCCCATGCGCGCTTGGACGCGGCGCCGAGCGCCAGTGCGGCCGAGGCCGCACCAACGCCGACGTTGAGGGCCTGAAGTATTAAAGGGTTTAAACCGGTGTGATAATCGAGCTGTGCAGGGGTTTAGGATACAGGGTGTTTTTAAGGTCTGGGGATCATGAGCTTCGTGGGTGTTTCAATTGGGTTATATTGTATGGATCTCAATCAGGAGTCAAAGCAGTTCATGCCGGGGGCTTAGGGGTTTGGTATGTAGCGCTGTTGGGCAAGGAGTGCAGAAGTGTACAGGAGGTTCAAGGGATTTAAAGTGTAGGGTTTGGGCTTTTGAGGGCATCCATAAAGCCTTGGGATTAGGGTTTAGGATCGCTCCTGGGGCATGAGGGTCTAGGCCAAAACAGTGCCTCTTCATACCCGTGGGTCTTGGGAGACCGTGGCGTCGTGGGACCTCGAAAGTCCAAGCCTCAGCATGCTCGAAGAAGCTTGCCTCCCAGTGCCATTGGGCCTGCAAGCCCCATTCCCTTCAGCTCCTCTTGTCGTGTCTTTCCATCCAGGCTTCTTCGCCGTATCTTCGGGCGGCGACTTGCCAAGCAGCTTGGAAAAGCGTTTCCACACCCTAGCTTCGGCTTCTAGCACAAACGAAGCAAAGACACTCGGCTAGCGGTTCTCAGATTTTAGGATCAGAGTTCAGTGAGGGCTTCCGCTTAACCGATCAGTGGTGTCACCTGAGCCTTCATGTAGGCCTTCGGTTGGGGGTGTGTTAATCTCCGCTTCTTCGTAGGTAGTATTCAGTCTCGGTGCAGGGGCCTACCTTGTCTTATACAGTTTGTTGGATTGTTTGGGGTTGAGCAACGGCGTTAGGTAATTATATTCTACACCCTGAACTTACGAACCGCTGACTAATCCTATTGAGGTTCCCTATTTCTTACCCGGCCTGGCTCCAAGAAGAAGTCCCGACGTAAACCCAAGACCCCGACCTCCGACCCTCAACCACGAAACAGAGCAGCAAGGGCCCCCGGGCGCTGCTGCTGCTGCTGGCGCCGGTGATCCTATCCACCGACTGGGCAGAGGCAGCCTGCGAAGGCGGTCCGATTAAGCATCCCCGTTCATGCTGAATCCTTTACATCCCGCAGGCTTGTGTGTGTGTGTGTGTCTATCCGATATTACCTATCTGTCGATAAACCGGTCTGTTTATCGATCTATCTATCTATCTATCTATCTATCTATCTATCTGTATGATGTATGTATGTACGTATGTACGTACCCTATGTATCATATGTATATGTATAAGTATGTAGGTATGTAGGTGAGTAGTATGTAGGTGCGTATGATTGTATGTACACACACACACACACACGCATGCATTCGTATTTCAGCTGTCTCCCTTTCCCAGCCCCACTCCATGTCTGTGTCAACATGCACGAACAACGAGCAAATCGACAGTCCTGTTGTTCTTGGATGTGTATACGCAATTTGTTGGTGTATCCTTGATGCTAACACTTTACAAGCGACAGGGCCATGGGGTTATAGTAGTTGTACAAGGATTTGTCAGGAGTGTACTATAAGCACTCTGTCAAGGTCTCAGCCACCAGATCCTTACAAATCTAAGACTATCCGATCCGGACTATCCTGTGCAGTTGTGGCTTATTGACTATATAAACCTGAACCTAGATCGGATTTGGGAGGTCTGAAAGGCAACACAGTTCGAACCAGTGCAGGCTGCCATTTTACCTGCATGTCGCGTTAATCGGCAAGGCCGACAGTGCACTCCATGTAAAGCTTACATCCCCAAGCATTGGGATCCACACGGACCAAAACGGCTTCCTGAGGCCTCCCTGAAATCCCAAAGCCAAGACTTCAAACATTGAAAGTCCAAATCCTCCGAAACCAACAGCCCTGAACCCTGCAACTTGAACTCTTTCGGTTCTATCATGAAGCCGGGCCCCTAAAGCTGGCAGCCCTGGGCCCTAGAGTGGTAAACACCCTAAACCTCGGCCTAAAGTCTAAGACCCATATACTTCCCTGAAAGACCTAAAGCCTGATCCAATCCCAAACCATACAGCCCAAGGACTCTGAATCCACAACACACAATTATCCGTAGGGTCCCGTAATCCCACTTTCTGAAGCCTCGAAATCATAAAGGCTGAAAGCACACATACTCCCAGATCCGAACCAAGAAACCTTCATACAAACTCTTATAGAACACGCCCTTGTGAAACCTTTTGCTTCTTCCCGACCTCGACGGCCCGGTTTGCCCGCAGGCTCTTCGTCTGTGTGGGTGCCACAAAGGCGGTGCTGCAAAGTGCAGCGGCGCCTCCGCCGCTTGCGGCTGCTCAGGGCATATCTATCTATGTACTTTGCTTATGTCACATGTCTGACTACCTTGTCATTGACTTACGTATGTTGGGGGCATCAGGGGGAAGTTCTTGAAGGCTTTCGAGGCTTTAGGGCTCTGGCACACAAAGGCATGCATGCGCACACACACACACAAACACGCAGTGTTTTCGATGGTGCATAGTCCACAGTAGCACGAATACTGTATGTCTGCGTGTGAGTACGTATCTTCGCATTTGTATGTATACGTGCGTGTACACACACATATGCATACACATATACATTGACAAGCGCGTAAACTTACATGTGTACAGGGCGTAATGTATGTATGTATGTATGTATGTATGTATGAATGAATGTATGTATGAACGTATGTATGTATGT